TCTAGGTGAATTCCAGCAATCAAACTGTTTTCTTCTTTTATTCTCTATGAAATTTCTTATGTGCACCGGTTAGCTTTACCCTCCATATATCGTTGCCAGGTAAAATACAAGATGCCAGTTAAATTTGAATTTCACATAAACAGTGAATACTTCAAAAAAATTTTAAAGTATTTTTAGTCCCATGCAATATTTGGGACATATTAATACGACACAAGTAGTTATTGCTTATCTGAAACTCACATTTAAATGGGCAGCCTGTCAAACCTGACACTCCTATCCCCATAGCAATCTTCCCTGGGCAATGAGGATTCTCCACTGCTCTTTCATGGTGCTCTTGAAATAGAAGAAAGGCCTTGAGTGATCTAAGTCCTCTGTGGCTTGCTGAGCTGGGTTCCTTTACCCTGGAGACTGAGTACTGACAACGTTATTGCAGTAAAATCTCACAGGAAGGTATGGCTTTTGCCATCTGCTCTCCCTTGTGGGTAGGTTTTGAGGCTCGTGCTGGGATGACAACACTGAAGCTGAGCAGATGGACATCATTTGCTGAAGGGCTGCAGCATAAGGCAGGAGCTAGGCTAACTTGAACCCAGGTCTCTTTCCTTTGAGCCTCCCCTGTGTGAGACTGGGCTGGTCAGGGCTTGGTGTGGGGGAGAGGTGCAGTCTCTCCTGACGGGATCCAGAACATGCTACCCCAAAATATGGCACCTCGGCTTACAGAATATCCTAAGTTTGAAGAAGTTGAAGAAAATGGTAGAAGCAGGAAGGTCCCTCTGACCTGCCCCCACCCCTACCTTTCTTCCCTGAAAGCAGAAGATGAACCTCCCACATGAAAGGTACCTTCCCTGTACCGGAAGGGAACCAGACATCCTTCTCATGAGGGAATTTAGGGCTGAGAAGGCTGTATAAACAAACCTTGTTCTTTCTTCACCCTTTACTACCCCTAGCCCCCACCCCTCTGCCTTGTCAGTTCTTCACAAATTAACTGATTGTAAAAAAGATACAAAAGCTTCATGCTCTGGTCACTTCTTTGGTCCTTCACTCTCTCGCGAAGGCTCTCATGGACGTGTAAACATTTAATAAAATGTGTACGCTTTTCTCCTGTTAATCTGTTTGTCAGCTCAATTTTCAGATCCTGCCAGGGACCCTTAAGAGAGTTGAGGAAAACCTTACCCCTCCTTTACCCCTTGCCCCAAGATTCTGCCCACCCTTCTCCTCATCCCACACGTACCTTGACCTCTTTCTCCAGATAGTCACACAGCAGAATCTGGGGGTCGATGAGGTAGTCAGGGGGATAAAGGGGCATCGAGTGCAGGGGCCGGCGACTCACGCTGGTCCGAAAGGCTGCCCGGCGTGCGGCCTTGGGGAACACCAGCCTCCGGATGGGGGAGACAAAGCCCTGGGGGTGGGGGTGTGCAGGAGAAATAACAGTAATAATAGCAACTGACGTTATCAAGCACGTCCACATTCAACATTTTAACTATTTCCCTATTACCTGATTTAATTCTCATAGACTCTGCAGAAGGGGTACCTCTGTGATCCCCATTTTATGGATGGAGAAACTAAGCCTCAGAGGGAGAACTAGCCGAGAAGATCACCAGCTATTAGCAGTAGAACCAATAGTCTGGCTCTAAAATCTCCATTCTAAACACCCAGATGAGGGCGGAGACCCTGCTAAAGCCCAGGCCCAGGCCCAGGCGTAAGGAGTGGGTCCAGGCTGGGACAAGTAAGAAAAATATTGAGATTCAGTGTGGCTGAGGGGTGCCTGGGTGGCTTAGTCGGTTAAGCGTCTCACTCTTGATTTCAGCTCAGATCATGATCTCACAGTTCCTGGGACTGAGCCCCACTGACAGCACAGAGTCTGCTTGGGATTCTCTGTTTCTGGCCCTCCCCCACTCATTCTCTCTCTTTCTCCCTCTCTCTCAATAAATAAACTTTAAAAAAAAGATTCAATGTGGCCGAGTGGTGAATGCACAGATATTTGTTAAGCTATTCTCTGTGTTTTCCTAAAAATTAGAAATAGTTAATAAGTAAGGGCACCTGGGTGGCTCAGTTGGTTAAGCGTCATGACTTGGGTCATGATCTTGTGGTTCGTGAGTTCGAGCCCTGCATTGGGCTCCCTGCTGTCAGTGCGAATCTCGCTTTGGATCTTCTGTCTCCCTTTCTCTCTCTGCTCCTTCCCCACTCATTCTCTCTCTCTCTCAAAATAAGTAAAAATAAACTTAAAAAAATAGTTAATAAGTATGTTTAAGTAGAATCCAGCAGGCACTTGCATAAAAATGGCCTACAGCAAGGTTAAAGAAGCCAATTCCAGGACTCCAGCCCAGCCCAACAGAATCTAAATCTCACAGGAAAGCACTACTCTAGAGCAGTTCTTAGTGTATGGTTCCTGCATCAGCAGCGGCACCAAGGAACTTAAGAGATACGCATATTCTTGCTTTCCATCCCAGACCTATTGGATCAGAGCTTAGGGGTAAGACCCAATAATTTATGTGGGTTTTTAAAAAAATTTTTAATGTTTATTTATTTTTGAGACAGAGAAAGAGGGACAGTGTGAGCAGGGGAGGGGCAGAGAGAGAGGGAGACACAGAATCTGAAGCAGGCTCCAGGCTCTGAGCTGTCAGCACAGAGCCCAACGTGGGGCTTGAACACAAATCATGAGATCATGACCTGAGCTGAAGTTGGCTGCTCAGCCAACTGAGCCACCCAGGCGCGCCCCCCCCCCCAATAATTTATGTTTTAATCAACACTCCAGGTGATTCTGATGCGTGCCCAGCCCAGATTTTAAAACCAGTATCATGGAGCCTGCATGAGATATATGGAGGTTCTGCTAAATGAGAGCACATGGTCTGGGAAAGGGCGTTCCAGGCAGAGGGCACGACATGTGTTGAACGTCTGGGGGCTGGCAGGGCTGGCTGAACATGATGAGCCTGGAGAAGGGTGGGAAGAAGATTCAAGCCCACAGAGGGCTTGAATGTCAGCTGTGGAGCCGGGACTTTATTCTGTGTGTGTGAATATGTGTGTAAGAGTGGAGTGTAAAGGTAAAAGTTTGGTCTGTGGCCCTCAGTGGTCCAGCCCTGCCCACCTCTCCAGCCTTATCTTACTGTCCCCTCACTCCTGCCCTCCAGCTACAGGGCCATCTTGTTTGCTACATTCCTTCCCACTGAGAGCTTTTGTACACGCTGTTCCTCCCCCTGAAACACTTCCCTACCCTGTCTCCTTCTGCCCATTAGATCTCAGCTCAAGCTGACCAGGCTAGGGCTGGGTCCCCTAATATTCTGTACCCCAGCACCACGTATGGCGTCTCTCATGCAACTTTGTATTAATTGCTTTTCTTCAAAGTTGCCTTCCCCCAAAACGCTGTGAGCTCCAGGGAGGGAGCAGAGACCTTGTCTGACTTTGCTCACTGCTACATCATCACCAGCACCAGGCACAGTGTGGGGCACAAAATAAGTTCTCAGTGCACATCTGCAGAAGGAATGAGCCAAGAGAGAACAAGCACCTAGGTCTTGGCTCCCTTCTGAGCCCTCACGATTCACATAGCCTGACCTAGGATTCTTGGGGGAAGAGGGATGGGTGGGGGTGGGCGCTGGAATCTGAGGGACTCCCTGAATGGCAAAGACAACCAGGTGAGGTGTCCAGGGAACCAGACTAGAAAACTTCTGACAGAAAGGAGGAGTGAGGATCTGGGGGGGCAGGGCGCAGACGAGGCTGGAACCCAGCAGGGGAGCAGGTAGGTGTCTCAATCTGGATAGACAGCCTCATAGCACAGAGCTGCCCTGGCTGAGGTCCTTCTGTCTGGGAGGTAGGGAGAAGAGGAATGGGTCTGTTGGGTGTCTGTCTGTCCCTCAGTCTGAGGAAACCCCAGGAAAACTGTGGCAGCAGTTTGAGAGTATCTCCCAAAGTCATCTGTCTGGCTGGGTTTCCCTGGAAGGTGCCTGAGTGTCCCTTCCAGGGATGGCAGAGGCCATTGAGAGCCGGGAGACAGGTTAGGGAGTTTGAGCCCAAATGTCTGGTTGCCCAAGGGTGGGAAGGACGGTCTTTCCAAATGAGAAGGAAGACTCTATGCCACTCGCTGCCCATCACCCCCACCCGGGTTCTCCACTTTACTCCCTCCAGGGACATTTCTCTACCTGGCATCCCTCCCAACCTCCCACCTACCTTTTTTCCTTTCTTGACTTCATATTCCATGGTGAAGCGTCCCCTCCACTCCTGCCACCCTCCTGGCCAACCCCCTCCACCCTCTCCCCCCACACAGTTCCTTTGTTCTTTTTCCTGCCTGGTCGGAAACTCCACCAGCCCTGGAGTTCCTGCCCCTCCCGTCTGATAGCGAGTGGGGGGTGGGGGGATGGAGGCTGGTGCAGGATGCAGCCTTGGGCCCCTCCAGCTGAAGGGTGGAAGGAAACCCAGCCAGAGCAACTGTCCCGGGGAGAACGCCTCCCGCCTGAAGCCAGAAGGCTTGCTGTTGAGGGG